CAGTCTCGCATCCTCTTCTTGTAAGTTAAGACTTCGCAAGTTTGATCAAGGCTGCAGTCTCCCCCTTTTCAGTTTGATATGGAAAACATACCGAGGACACGGGTAAATCTTCAAAGGGAACAGTGTACTTTATAACTTCATTCACATCACCTTGGCTACGTTGTTTCACTTTCTCAACAATAAAATGTAAACATGATTTAAGGAACTGCCTATTTCCTTTTTAATATTAGAAAACTTACAGACAGCAGAAATGTTGAGGCGTCGTGCTGTATAATATGAGCGTCATCGTCACTGTGTGGATATTTATAACAAAACGGAGCCTATAACAACTACCTCCTTTCAATTTCAGTGAAAATACGAAACGCACCCTCACTTTTGTTGAATATCAGTTTTAATAATCGACAATTATAAAAGTATCACATACAATAAGTTTATACATTGTAGGAAATAAAGGCAAGCGATCAGTCAATGTACCTGGATTAATCATTAACTTATCTTTGCGCTTAACCAAAACATGTTACCCGTGAACAAGTAACTTAATAGATTCCAATGACCAAAGTCAGGGAATTGGCCTCTGTCGTTAGATAAAGACAACAACATGAATGAAATATCACGTTTAGCAAATATAGTGAGATTAGATCCAGCGGAAGATGCTTGATGAGCAGTCCGACAAGCAGAGCTCTCATCTGGGTAGAAATGCTGGAGCGCTTGCCCGAGAGTGTCTGTGGTCACGTGATGTGCGTTTTCAGCGTTTTGGTGTGGACGGAGAGCTGTTCAGAAACGCTGGGTAAAACGCGAGTGTGGACGCGGATCATTTTCATTCTACAACGCCGTTTTAAAACTAAAACGCACTCTTGTAAAAGGGGCCTTAGAGTTTTACAGCTCTTTTTGATCCCCGCTTCTAGCAGCACACTCCATTTCCGCATTACTGGATCTGTAGCGACAACAGACCGCAAGGGATGATGGGGATTGTAGTTTTCGCTACCTCCCGTTCGCTTCATTCGCCTGAGCAAATTTTCTCAGAAGACCTATAGTTTTACCGAGTCATGCGACTTCGGTAATATCGAAAAAAATTAATATTGCGGTATGACGGTATTTACAATACCGTTACATCCCTATGCTTTACTGTTCCAACTTTTTCTGAAATGTGTTGCAAGACTCAATATTAAAAATACGTGTTTATTTAAAAAAATTAAAACAAAAATCATGAGGAACACATAAACAAATTTGTCTGCAATGAAATACAAGCCTAAGAAAATTTAGAAATCACTAGTTTATTTATTTTTTATTTGTGTTTTCCATACTGCCCAAACTTTTTTTTTATGATTTGGGGTTGTAACATGACTGGGTCAATCCACGTGCACTTTCCATATATTAAAAACTGTGCTCGTGATATTCCTGAAAATGTTACATTTAATAAAAGAAGGCCATATTTGGTTTGGGAAAATGACATTAAAGAAAGTAAATAACAACAGAATGTTCCATTTCGTTTTGGCCGAGTAGTTCCTTTTAATATATCTCTTTTATTTTCTGTCTTATTTTCCCCCTATATGTCATTGACCTCAACTGCCATTCAGTGGTATATGTGTGTGTATCCACTTATCAATGGATCTGCCAGCATCTGTGTGTGTTGGGAGGCTGCCATTTTTTTTGCTGTCTAAAGCAACCAGAGAGCATTTAAAATGAAAAACACATTTTGTCATTGGGTGTGTATGACTGGAGGGCCAACTCACACACGCTGAATAAATCAGAAGGTCAAGACCATTACGGGGGCAACTCCCCATGGAGCAACCCAACGCACACACACACGCAAACGCGCTCAGGAAATCTGTCATAAGTCATCGACACCGCATACTTTGATTAATCATATAATCCAATTTCTTTCATATCACGATTCATTGAAGCTGTGCATCTTTGTCTGATTTTGCCTGTATATGTAGTGTGTTTAATCCTGTTCCAGCTGCCTGACTTCACTCTGTGGCGGAAAGAAATGTAGCAGTCATGAGCTTTATAAAGGTTCAACATTCACTACTGTTCAAAAGTTTAGGCTCAATAAATTTTTTTTTGAAAGAAGTTATTGGTTCTGTTCAGTAACAGTACAAATTGATCGAAAATGATAATAAAGATATGATTTTCAGCAAAATATTAAGCAATGACGTTTTTAACATTTTCTTTTAAAGCTTAGTCAGCATATTATAATAATTTTTGAAAGATCATGTGACTAAAGACTAGGATTGGGTATAGTTTTAATTTTAGCAATTTTAGCAAATCTAGTTCTTATTGTGGATTGGTTCTGATTATGATTTTTTGTAGAGCAAAAAAAGAGCAAATACTTAAATAAAATAACTTATATTTTATTCTTGCCCCATTATCATGGTTTCTGCTACATTCATTCTCCCATGACAGGGCGCCACGCCAAAATTCATCACGCCATGGCTACATTACAGCTTCCCATTCAAAACATTTTATTTTTTTAATAGCGGGTAATAATCGCACCAAAACGTATTAAAGGGTAAGTAGATTATAACAGTGCAAACTTTTCTGTAACTGTAGAAGTGCCTGACAGGCGTGTGATGCATGAGGCCACCAAACCCGACATATAGCCATTTTACTTTACTTCAATACGCATTAATATTGTCCTGAAACATTATCATAAACATACTAAATCGCACTTCAGCAGGATTTATTTGAGAGCGCACACGATCTGCGCGCTTTTGACGCGACTTATATTTGAGGGGGTGTGCAAGAAGTTTTGTGCACGAGCAGAGGAATTCGGCGCGCAAGCAAAGAGATCTGCATGCTGTAGGCTATTATATAATAAATGCGATCTCGACTAGTAAAACTGCGCTCACCACATTTGTCATTGAAATAACGCCACAGGTAGACCTGTGTAAAAATAAAAAAAGGCCTGCCGCCACATCTGGAAAAAATCCTAGAGGAAACACTGATTATGCTATAACCAGTAGGGTTTACAGTAACTGTTAAAGGGATAGCTCCCCCCAAAATGTAAATTTACTCACTATTTGATCACCCTTCAAACCTTTATGAATTTCTTTCTTCTGTAAAAAAAAAAATCATATTTTGAAGAAAGCCTGTAACCATTGACTTTCCTAGTAGAAAATGCCAATACTGTCAATACTGTGCAGGTTTTCAGCTTTCTTCAAAATATTTTCTTTTGTGTTTAACAGAAAAAAAAAATCATAAAGGTTTGAAACCGTTAAAGCAGGGGTGTCAAACTCAATTCCTGGAGGGCCGAAGCTTACCTGTAGGTATCAAACAAGCTTGAAGGACTCAATTAGTTTGATCAGGTGTGTTTAATTAGGGTTGGAAATAAACTGCAGAGCTGCGGCCCTTTTGGAACTGAGTTTGACACCTGTGAGTTAAAGGGTGAGTAAATTACTTTTATTTTATTTATTTTTTTCATGTTGGGAGAATATCCCTTTAACTGTAAGAATTTATAAAAATAATAAAATAATTCACTTTCATTATTGAATAAAAGAAGCATTTACAAATAGTTGTCCTACTGTATATCTGTTTTCCTAGCTGTCTGACTGTATTTAATCGTCACTATTTAAAAAACAAAAATGATTGTCAGTTTATCCAAACTTTATGGCTTTAATTCTATGGTCGCAGTCTTTTCATCTGTGCTTTGAACTGGAGAGATGCTGCTTTTGCTAATATTAGTTATATGTGGTGCATTGCCCTGGGACACGGCAATCTATTTAAAACCGATAAGTGTTACATAAAGCAAGTTCTAGGAAAAGGCTGGGAAAATTCTACCTTTAGAAACACTAGACTGAGCAAAGGAGTGCTCGCATCAGGAATCGAAAAAGAGAAATTCAATCATGCTAAACTATATATTTTCTTTTTGTTGAAACAAAATGTAACTCTAATAATGATGAAAGTCTACATTGTGTTTGTGAAATGATCTGAAGGTAAGCAGTTAGAAATATCAAGATTATTATAGACCATTACCAATAACTTCTTAAGTGAAGCTATCATGCATCAGAAAGGTCGGAGCACAGTGCACATGAAGATTTTATAGTTCTGTGTCTGATTTGAGAAATGATGACAGAATTTGGATGGAGTTATATCTCTGAATGTCTTAACCATCTAGATTTTCTGAGCTTAGCCAGCAATTTCAACTTTGGCACACAATTCATCCAATTCAGTTTATGATTTAGACATGAATCAAATTAAGTCAGTCGTAAAAGAGAGTTGTACTAATGCTTCAAAAATCAAATCTAGCATTTTTAAATAAAAATTATGATTATGGCTCATATGATGATTTAAAGCGATTTAACTAAGTCAGTATTAAAATGTGTATTAGTACTTAAAGAAGCGCACATTCTCCTTTCAAGTGTGGCTTTTTTTTTTTGGTTGTGCTCTTACAGTACATGTTTGACAATGGGAGCAACCGTGCGACCAAGTAAAAAAAAAAAAAAAAAAAGTCAATTTCGAGCCCTGTTTCTGTTTGGCATGCCCATTAAGAATATAATATTTCTTAAATATAACAACCAGATGATTTTCAAGTTACTTTAGTCATGAAATTATGATTTGTTGCTGTTTTCAGACTAGCGCAACATTGTTCACGTTTTGCACCACGTTCTTTAAATTGCAAATCCATTTGTGCCACTGGGGACTCATGGGTGTGCTGATCTAGAAAAGAGGTGTGTAAAGGCGCATTGTTGGCACATTGCTTTGTTGATGAACTGAAATAGACCGCCATTGACGCAACTGACTCTTAAAGGGAATAAGAGATAAAACTCTGATTGGATTATTGCATGTTATGCTCAAAACACACCCACAAGTCATTAAGAAAATAAGCACAACCCTGTTACACCATGCGCCAGGGCGTAGAGCGTATTTTTCTTTATCTTTATATTTATCATGCTTGTTGTGAATGGGCCTGAATGCACTAACTACTCCATCATCTTCCTCACATTAACACCCTGGTTTAACATGACACTAAAATCTGCTTTATTAATGTTTGTTTGCAGAGTTATGGGAGCTGAACAGGACGTGGGTGTTCCAGGCCGGAGAGGGCCGTCTGCAGCAATACACCATGTTACTGGACGAGACTCAGGAACGGCTAATCATCGGGGGAAAAGACGTCCTGTACTCCCTCAATCTGGAGCGCATCACTGCCCCCCACAAACGGGTACACGTGTTTACGTGCATGAATTTAAGCAACATTAACATTGTTTGCCCAGCGTTGTCATCTGAGTGTGTGATACTGTACAGTTAATCATACTGTTTGGCCCATGACAGTCCGTTGCACAAGTCTGTTTGAGCAAAAATCTCAGAATAATTACGCACAGACTTATTAAATAAATAAAAACAGCTCTCTTAATGCAACCATCTGTTCTCGTACAGTTCTCCAACATTCACTGTTAAGTGTGGTTGGTTTTCTGTTGAAGTCAGGGCCTAAAATGAACACTTAGCACATGAAATTCTGCGTTGGCAGGTATATGAAATGATGTTACTCACAAGTTGGCCAGTAACTCTTTTATTTATTTTTATTTTTTCTATTCTAATGCCATGACCACAGCAAGGGTTAGCGTGATTATTTAACCACTAGGGTTGGACTGTCATTACATACACTACAAAAAGTCTTGTGGCCTATCCAAGTTTTAGAAACGGCAAATAATAACTTGACTTCTAGTTGATCATTTGGTATCAGAAGTGGCTTATATGAAGGGCTAATGCCTCTAGATTGTTATTTTACTATAATAAAATATGATCATGCCTTGATTTTTTTTATTACTTAATTAGGACAGGAAGGTCTGACTTTGACAAAAGTCTTGTCACTTAACAGAAATGATGTACAGTATAGAATATAAAGTCATGTTGCCGCAGACAAACAATGAATATTGTGTATGACTCCCATGAACTTGGAGGACTGCATCCATACATCTGTACAATGACTCAAGTAACTTATTAATAAAGTCATCTGGAATGGCAAAGAAAGCATTCTTGCTGGACTTCCAGTTCTCATCAAGATTATTTGAATTCATCTTCAATGCCTCCTCCTCCATCTTACCCCAGACTTGCTCAATGTTCATACTGGTGACTGGGCTGACCAATCCTGGAGCACCTTGACCTTTTTTGCTTTCAGGAACTTTGATGAGGAAGCTGAAATGTGAGGAGCAGCGCCATCCTGCAGAAGAGTTTGCCCTTTCCTGTGGTTTATAATGTAATGGGTAGGCTGTTGATGTTGCCATCCACTCTGCAAATCTCTCGCACACCCAACCCATTAATTTTCCATTACCAAACTACTGATTTCTGTGAGAATCTTGTGTCCATGCAGATTCCAATAGGTCTTTTGCAGTATTTGTGACGATTGGGATGCAGTTCAACAGATGATTCATCTGAAAAATCTGCCTTCTGCCACTTTTCCAAATGATCTACTAGAAATCAAGTTATTGTTTGTTGCTCTTACAACTGGGATTGACGTCAAGACTTTTGTCAGGTAGTGTAAATATGTAATATGATGCACAGAACTGTGAGGTAGGTAGGTAATTCTCATAGTAATAGTGTTTTCAGTTTCTGACAGTGCCTTGAATTTACAGCATTTAAATAATTTTGCCTGTGGTGTTCTGCCAAATACAAAAAAAACAGAAATTAGTTATGTAGTTGTAATAATGTTAGGTTTAGTCTCATAGTTGTACTGAAACTTTTTATTTGATAGTTTTATTTATGTTTGTGTTCTTCTTTTTATGAGTGCAGCATCAAGCAGAAAAAAGAAGAGGGTTCGGCTTTTCATAACCATTACTTTATACTAAAAGATTTGTCTTTTCATTTTTAGAATTACTCTTAGAATTGTTAGACAGAACTGATTTTGCCAGGCAGTTGTTTCATCAATTTACCATCATGGCAAAATTAATGCGTTCACACAAATTAACCGACTACCGAATCAGCAGTTTTTCTATGACAAATCAGCTTTTGTAAGGTTGCATTTTACCTCAATATTTATGACCTCTCTTCTTATTCATCAATCAACATGTTTCCAACTCCACCACATTTTAAGAACAATTTGAAAGGTCCCCAAACTCACTTAAAGATTTTGTACTTCTCTATTCTCTATTATATTATTCTCTAATGTATATATATATATATATATATATATATATATATATAATTGAGTACACCCCATTTTGAAAATGAATATTTGTATCCATTTTTCAGTGAATATAGGCAATGTATTTTGGTCCATTTAAACAAATTAGATTTATTTAACAGATATATTTATTAAAATAACATTTTAGTCACCAAATATGTTCAGAAATTGAAAGATAATACAATAAAAATCAAGCAAAATATTGCAAAAAAAAAAAATACAATCTAAAAAATTAAACTAAAAGTTGATTATTTTTGCTCCTTGATTTTTTTTTTCTCTAATCTTTTTTTAAAATTTGCATTTAATATTTTTCTTTAACATAAATTTTGGGTCGACTAGTTTTTGGACCGTTATCATCAGTTATTTTGTTAGATAAGCTCCAGATTTGTTTTCTGTACTGAATAATCTAATGTATATGCACAAATGTAATTTTGGATAGCTTCTAAAAAATAGGCATTTAAAAGATAGATTCGTGAGGGATGTACTCGTGTATGCTGAGCACTGTAGGTTATCTTTTCCATTGTCACATTTGTCTTTTAGCCAACATCCTATATTTGGTGTACACATATTTTCTAATTTAAATAAATAATCTGTTTAGCTTGAAGTATACACATATTTATAAATGTTCAGTGTCTAGATTTCCTTGGAGTATAAATGAAATGAAAGAAAATCAGGAGTCACAGTGAAATATTAACACAAAGTATTACCCCTTACACTTCTACTATTCATTTCTTAAGGCATAAAAACATTTTAAGTCGAAGAAGAAAGAAATATTAGTTGATTTAAGAGCTGGTTAGCTTGACTTAGTTTGTTAAAGGGATAAAAAGGGAAAATTGTGTCTCACCTATAATTTACTTACCTATTTCAAACTTTTGAGTTTTTATCTTTTGTTAATTACAAAGTAAGATACTTTGAAGTTAGTTGGAAACCTGTAATCATTGACTTTCATAGTATTTGTTTCCTGCAATGGAATTCAATGGTTACAGCTTTCTTCAAAATATCTTCTTTTGTGTTCAACAGAATTAAAAAAAAAAAGACTCAAAGATTTGAAACCACTTGAGGGACAGTAAATATTATGTAAAGTTTCATTTTTGGGTGAAAAATTCCTTTAGAGGCTATATACTGGATATTAAAACTTGAAATGTATATTCATGAATTCAACCCATGCTTTTATCCAAAGTTTGTTTATGGTGCATTCAGTTCAGGTAGCTGCATTTCATTCCATTTATGCAATTACTGACAATCAAAGTAGTGACCCTGGAATGCAGAAATGCCGAGTTTAAACTTGCCTTTTTCATGCAACCACAGGACAAGAATCATCACAATGACAGTGTTCTGCATGTGCATTTCTGTGCCTGAACAACATAAGCCAAAGCCCTGCTCTTGTGTCTCTGTTGTAGATTGTCTGGTCGAGCTCTCAGGAGCAGGTGGAGGACTGTTTGATGCAGGGCAGAGAGAAGGTAAAGCTGATATTTATCCCGGAGGTTGGCTTTTAAAATCAGCATATTCTACTCACCAATGCTGCATTTGTTACAAAAAAAGTGTTTTTAATTTAAAACAAAATTGTGTAAAACTATTAATAATTTTGAAAAATTATAAAAATTTAAAAGATTAGTTTTCTTATTACATTTATAACATTATTATTATTATTATTATTATTATTATTATTATTAATATTTTAAATAAAATGTGTTTTTATATATATATATATATATATATATATATATATATATATATATATATATATATATATATATATATATAAATGTATTTATTCACATTTATTATTTTTGTATGTTTGATTTATAATTTTAATTTATTTATTATTTTAATTTATTATTATAATTATTATTATTATTATTATTATAGCATGTATTATTACCATATAATTTAATTAATATTTAAATTTTCTATTATTATTATTGTTGTCATTAAAATACAATTATTTATTATTATTATTACTTTATTTTTGAGCCATTATTACTATCAATAGTAGTAGTAGTAGTAGTATATTATTATTATTATTATATAATTTATTTATTATTCTAATTATTATTATTATTATTATTATTATTATTATTATTAGTGTTCAAAAATGTTTGAAATCTTTTTTTTTTTTTTTTTTTTTTTTTTTTTTTCTGATGGAGTATCATTTAAACAGCATTAAAGATTTAGGGACAAATTTAAGGACTCATGAAATTGTTCAAGAGATGTTAAAAATACAGATTATTTCCTATTACCTGTTTGTAATGTTCTGTTTTTTAAAAAGTCCTGAACGTTCAGATGTATCACTTTCTACAGAAACATTGGTAATTATAAAATCGTTATTGATCCCTGAGTAACACTAATAATTGATCATAATTGAGCAGCAAATACTATTACTTAATGTCATTTATTCCTGTGATTCAAAGCTGATTTAACTCCAGTCTTCTGCCACAATCTTTCAGAAATCATTATAATATACTGGTAGTATGTTATAATGGTTTCTGAAGGATTATATATACTGCATGGTTTCTGCTACATTCATTCTTCCATGGTGGGGCGCCATGCCAAAATTTATCCCGCCACGGTTACATTACAGCTTTTCATTCAAAATATTTTATTTTAATAATAGCAGGTAATAGTCGCACCAATTGCACGATTTTTCTGCAATCATAGTAGTGCTGTGCGTCATTTGTTTAACCCTTTAAGGTTAGGTGCTGACTGACTGACTGACAGGAGCATGATGCGTGAGGCCAACAAACTACTTATAGCCGTTTCACTTTACTTCAGGACGCAATAATATCGCTCTGTAGGTCTATAGGAGACAAAAAGGCCTGCCGCCACAGCTGGGAAAAATCCTAGAGGTAACACTGTACTGGTAGTATATTATAATGATTTCTAAAAGATTATGTGGCAGAAGACTGGAGTTAAATCAGCTTTGAAGTTACATCAAGTATATAATAATCAAAAATGGTAATTTTGAATGTGTTGTTTTGATCAAATAAATGCAGATGAGGTGAGAAAAAACTTCCCAAAAGAAAAATCCTGATCACAAACTTTTGGGATTGGTGAAGTAATTTCTTGTTGAAATGTTTATAGATGTTTTAACACTATCTTTCTGTTTTTGTGTATGTCTGTCAGCCGGAGTGTGCAAACTACATTAAGCTGGTTCAACATTATAACAGCACTCATCTGCTGGCATGTGGCACTGGAGCCTTCAGTCCTGTGTGTGCTTACATCAGAGTGAGTCGTGGAGCAGAGGTAAAGCACACTTATCATATAAAAATATGTAGTACTAAAATAATTGTGTTACTTAAAAAAATATATTTACATGAAAAAAACATATTCAGAAAAAATCTAGTTCCTAAAGGTCTATTACTATTAATGGAAACTTTTTTTAAGACTAGTTAACATAATTAGACAGTTAGATAATAAGGTAAGGTGTTTTGTTTTTGTTTTGTTTCATTTTGTTTTGTTTTGTTTAGTTTGTTTTGTCCTTTTTTTTGTCCTTGTTTTATTTTTGTTTGTCCTTGTTTTATTTTTGTTTGTCCATGTTATTTTTGTTGTTTTTTTGTTTGTCCTTGTTTTGTTTTTGTTTGTCCTTTTTGTTTTGTTTGTGATTGTCTTGTTTTGTTTGTTTTTTGTTTTGTTTGTGCTTGTTGTATTTCTTTGTCCTTGTTTTTTTTGTCCTTGTTTTGTTTTTGCTTTTCCTTTTTTGTGTCATTGTTTATTTATCCTTGTTTTTTTTTTTTTTTCTTTGTCCTTGTTTTGTTTTTATTTCTTCTTGTTTTGTTTTTGTTTTTTGTTTTCTGCTTTGTGTTTGCTTTGTTTGTTTTTGTTTATCCTCTGTTTTGTTTGCTTTGTTTTTTTTGTTTTGTTTGTCCTTGTCATGTTTTGTTTTGTTTGTCCTTGATATGCTTTATTTTGTTTAGTTTGTCCTCGTGTTACACGTAAAAAAGACTTCAGTCAGTCAATTTCAGTTTATAAACCAATGTGAATGAATGTGAACTTTAACATTTAAAAACATTAATTTGTCAGGACCTATGAAATAAATAAATAATTATTTTTTGTTTCCAAGGAAGGAAAAATACTCAAAGTAGATGTAAGGTGAAAAAACACCATGTTTTAAAGTCATAACATGCGTCACACTTGTTGACAGTCTCAGAGAAGCCTCTGTGACCACAGAGCCTATGAAGCTTTTTATTCAATATTTTATTATAGACCACTGTGGCCTGTCCGCTGTCTTCTGTCCTCTTTCTGTGCTGTTTGTCCTCTGAGGAATGTCTCGGAGTGACTCACAGGTGAACTCAGTCCAGTGTTGTGCTGTTGTTTGTCACCAGAGGCCGAGCTGGAAATCTGTGCCTATATTCACACACGCAGAAACTCCTGTCGTAATTAAAACCAGTCCGAGCTGTAAGAAGTTAGAACTCTTAACATCTCGAGACACTAAAACACTGGTCGTGTTTTGAGTTTTCAAATCTTTGATTGTAAAATGATCCAGATGTTTGTGACACAATGAGGTTTAGCAGCACATTTGGGTTTGGAGGACAGTTTGATAACACAATGGCTGATATTCAGCCCGCTGGAAGGTGAAAGGAAAAATATGCTTAAAAGCACAGGGAATTGTAGGAATGTTAAAAATCTGGTGGTTAAGAGGGGCAAAGAATGAAGAATGTGACCTACATCTTCACTGTACTGTGTAATATTTGGAGGTTTTTATGCTTCCCTTGAGGCTAACCTGCCAATAATGGTACATCAGTTTTAAGCCGCCTTTGCTGCTTTTTACTTGAAATAATAAGCGGTACAGGATAAGGATTCTGAACCAGTGATATTTTACACAGAGGTACTTGTGTAGCTTTTATTGATATTTAAATAATATTTAAAATTTTGCATTTTTGTTGATTTTCATTTTAGAATTGTAATAAAATAAGTAATCATAAGTGACTATGTTGTTTTTAGTTTTAGCCATTTTTTGTATTTTCGTTATTTGTTATATATTTATATATTTTTATTATATAAATTGTTTTCGTTTTTTCTTAAGTGCTTTTTATACAATTGTTATTGAATATCAGACGGAATATTCATGGAATGTCATTAGATGAAAACCTTAGAATTTTGAATTAAACTAGTTAAAACAAGTTGAAATAAAACAGCAAGCTACTTCTGAAATTAAAAACATAATGTAAGTCTAAACTAAAACACAAAATAAATAAAACGATAAATAAAATTAGCATACTCGTGTAATATGTTATATAAAATGTAAAAATGAGTTAGATTCAATTTTAATAATATACATCTGACAAACGTTACAAAAAACTCTACATGTAGTATTTACATACACATACAAGCACAAAAAACAAAACTGAACATGTACTTGTCCTAAACTAAAATTAAATAAATATCACTGAATGTCATTCTCTCCACTACCTACCTCTAATGAACTCAGCAATAGTAAAGTGGCATAGTTCTTCCAGGTTTTTCTTTTTGAGGTGACTTCAACAGCAGTATGTGATGAAAACATTGCTCTCCACAGAGATTTGGTTTGTTTTAATGTGTATGACAGGAAGTTTTATCATTCTCACTCTGTTAAAATATCCAACCAAACATCCAGACAAGCGAAAACAAACATCTCCGTCCTCCCAGGAGAATCCCAGTCAAATTACAGAGCACTAATCACAGAGAGTGAGCTTTATTTGAAGAAAAGAGCAAAGACGAGATGTTTATTTGAAGGAAACTGAGAATCTGGAATCTTTCCTGTGCTGCGTCGTGGCAGGCAGCCTGCACACTTTATCACCATTTTTTTTTTTAAATCTACTAAAATTTCATGATAAAAATAATTATAAGGCCTGTATGAAATCTTATGTTTGTTTTTTTTTTCTTAACTTCTTTTGATAACATTTTTCCAATTTAATTTAAAGGTTAAGCGTTCATGCATCTGCTTTGTCCCAAAGATATATTTACCGGTAAAGGGCCTGTTCACACAAGTGATGTTTATTTATAAACTTATTTCGAGAGGATCACGTGCTTATGATTGCTAGCAGCTGGATCCGCATTACCCAATTCTCAATGCACCAATCAGATGATTCCTAAGCTAATACAAATACCCTGGGTTACACACCACCGTTATCTTCGTTTTGAAGAATCCCCCCGTCCACCCCTACTCCTTCTTTTTCCTAGATGGGTGACACGGTGGCCCAGTCATCAGCGCTGTTGCCTCACAGCAAGAACTCTGGTTCCAGGCTTTACCAAACTAGCAGACGTTTCTGTGCAGAGTTTGCACTTTCTCCCCGTGCTCACCTTGGTTTCCACCCACAGTCCCCGGTTTCCTCCCACAGTCCAAAAACATGCAACTTAAGTTAATTGACTAATCCAAATCAACACCATAGACATGCTTCTAGTAAGTTATCTCTTAAGAGCAATCACAATCTGTTCATTAGTTACTACAGCAGGGGAGTTCTCGAGATCTACCTGAGCTCAAACTCCCCTCTCGCCTTGCAATGGGAGGGAGCCCCAGGCTCAAGGATATCATGTGCTCAGGGCTTTCTCTCCAGGGACAGCATTCCAAACAAGCTTATTATAAATCATCAGCTAAGTGTGAACTCTTGAAACCAAATTTTGTCTCTATGTGGGGCCATTGACAACATTATTAGACCTTTTTTTTTCTCTGCTAAAATGAAACATTTAAAATGATCAGATTCCCTCTTGCATTATATTCAACATTATAAAGGCTAGAGAAGTTATAGTGACACTGTTAAACATTTTAAGCAACATATAAAAACCAATTTGGACACTTGTGAAACAGCCAAATTGCTTCTCTTCTATATAAGTGGCTGAATTACATGGATGGTGGACTAAGATCATGTGGGGGTAGAATTCATTTATTTAGTTCTATATGTAGTTCTATAGTTTAAGCATACATGTATTTTGTTACATATATTCTAAAGCACACTGTAAAAAGAAAAAAAAAACTTAAATTATATTATTTGAAAAATAACTGTGCATTCTCAAAAAATAAATGTCATTCTAATGTGGTCAGAACCAAAGTTTACATGACTGCTCTCTAAAGTCCTCTCAAGTGGTGGAATTCTACATTCCGATTGCATTACTGCATCCAAAATGGTGAAAAGCCTTGGAGTAACGATTGATGACCAACTAAACTTCTCTGACCACATTTCTAGAACTGCTCGATCGTACTCTATAACATCAGAAAGATCAGACCCTTCTTATCTGAACATGCAGCTCAACTCCTTGTTCAAGCTCTTGTTCTCTCCAGACTGGATTACTGCAACTCTCTACTAACGGGGCTTCCAGCTAACTCTATCAAACCTCTTCAGCTGCTCCAGAACGCAGCAGCACGAGTGGTCTTTAATGAACCTAAAAGAGCACATGTCACTCCGCTGCTCATCCGTTTGCACTGGCTGCCAGTTGCTGCTCGCATCAAATTCAAAGCTCTGATGTTTGCCTACAAAGCGACTTCTGGCTTTGCTCCTTCTTATCTGTTCTCACTTCTGCAGATCTATATGCCCTCCAGAAACTTGCATTCTGTGAATGAACGTCGCCTCGTGGTTCCATCCCAAAGAGGGAAGAAATCACTTTCCCGAACTCTTGCATTCAATCTGCCCAGTTAGTGGAATGAACTCCCTAACTGCATCAGAACGGCAGAGTCACTCGCTGTTTTCAAGAAACGACTAAAAACTCAACTATTTAGTCTCCACTTCACTTCCTAATCTGCAATTGCCTCTCAGTATACACTAACTGTACTCAAAAAAAAATAAAAAATACTAATGCTTTCCTTCTTAGACTTTACAGACCTGAAACTTGCTAATAGCACTTATGCATTGCTGCTCTTATAGTTGTGTAAATTGCTTCCTTGTCCTCATTTGTAAGTCGCTTTGGATAAAAGCGTCTGCTTAATGACTAAAATGTAAATGTAAATGTGATTAATTGCTGCTGAACCAATTCATAGCTCATTACCATAAAGTTGACCGGATTTCAACTCTCCTCTCTGCTCACAACCACCCAAGATGCACCCAAGTAGCTTTTACAGCTTAATGGCAGTGTGAATACAAATTTTCAGTGCAAACTGCAACTGAATTAAAAACGTCCCCCTTCTTAGTATTGATCAATCCGTCAATTACAGATTTCCTTGAAATTCCATTTATATGGGTGAATTCCACAACTCTGTCCACATGTTCTGCATCCTCCCTAGAATTTCCTTCTCACTCCATTCCCTGTCTTTATCCCAGCGCGTCTGCGAAATC